GCGTGGTGCCCTACATCCCCCAGTACCGAGACATCCGGCGGACGCAGAACGCGGAGGGCTTCTCCACCTACGTGTGCCTGGTGCTGCTGGTCGCCAACATCTTGCGGATACTTTTCTGGTGAGTTGGTTCGGGGAGGGGGGTGGTGTCGCTGGCTGGCTGAAGGTTCTTCTTCCTCGTTGTAAAGCTTTGGTTTGGAATATTTGAGGAAAGAATGGGGTTTACGTACTTCTTCCCCGCTCCTGAAGAGCAGAGCGCTGCCTTCCCGTGAGCGGGGGGAGCGAAGGGGGCTCAGGAGCGCTGCCTGTGGCCTCGCCAGGTCGGATTGTCAGTGCTCCCGTGTTCCGAAGTGCAACTTTTTAACTCGTCGGTGAAAAAAAGAGGTTTATTCGAAGTCAGATCTTTTTTGTGGCTGACCGTATTTTACGTTTCTCTTGCTCCTCCTGCTCCCTTTTCAGAGCAAAGGCCGCGGTCCCACATGCTTGTTCCAGCACCTAGAACATTATTACGGCACTGGGACACTTGCCATGCGTCCTTGCGTTTTCCCGGGATGCCAGGTGGCTTCAGAGGGGGTTTACTTCTGGAGCTCTGTGCACGGCTACGGATGAAAACATTCATTCTTTGATAAGCAGGCAAAAGGTGGTCTGTCTTTCAAAGCAAATTCTTTTTGTTTTCAACACCACTTTCCATATTTAAAGGTGAATTCGTTTCCATATTTAGATCTTGTGCTGCTGGTCAAAGAAAATGTTACTAGGGCGAGATTTCCGTGAATTTTATTAACGTATATTCCTAATTGGTTCTTATAACATAGATGTTACAGCACTGGGAATGTACTTGAGAAACCAAAGATCAAATAGCCTGGGAGATTACTGCAGCCAAGAACAGTTACTCTAAGAATATTTTGACTACAAAATGCTGCTTTGTAGTCCACAAAGAACTGATGGGTAACAGGCCACATTCTTTTGTTGGTTTCCAGTTGCTTTTTAAAGCTCCTCTGGCTCTTTAAGTATAAGGAGCTTCCTGGATTCTTCTACAGCAAAATGCGAGTGCTGTGCTGGAGAGGAGAAAACAGGAGACCCTCTCTCAAGACCAAGCTGGCAGTCCGACTGAGGAGTCGGCACTAGACCCGAGCTACTTGTTGCATTGGACCTGTGTTTTCCTGGGGAGAAGTGTATGGAGCAGCTGTTGGAGAAAGCAGGGAGCAGAAGGGAAGCAGAGGAACTGGCAGGGGGAGAAGTGAAAAGCCCGAGCTGACAGTTGGAGAAGTAGAAGTTGTCTAATTTTTTGTTTCACTGGAGGTAGTTGAAATACATGAATGATTTGCACCTGAGTGGAGATGCCGGCAGTTTCTGGGTAACCCAGGCGAGTACATCTGTTAAATGAAACTTGGGCTATGGAAGAACTGAGAGATCTTTGAGTTGAGTTGATTTTAAGTATATCTAGTTAAGATATGTGGCAAAAGATTAAATACTACAAGTAGTGAAAAGTTATAATTGATGTCAATGTTAAAAGATTTATCAGTGCTTCAAAAGAGAGAGAATGCAGTTCTGTTGACAAGATTATGTAGTTTTTAACTGTGAGTATTTAAGCCACGTAATAGTATCACCCTCTGACATGGGCTAGCTCTGCGTAGGCTCTGGTCGTGGAGCTTGGTGATGGTGTGGAATGGCTTCCCGCAGCACGCACATGCTTAGGTGTGCCTGGCTAGGGGGGTGTGCAAGGCACGCTGGGCAGCCACTGCTGTGGGGAAGCGTTGCAGGCGTGAGCCTGCAGGATCCTTTCTGCCTGCACTTGCAATGAATTGTCTCTTTCTAGTTCTGTTGAACTGAAAGACAGAAAAGAAGCCTTGCAGATGATAATTCAGTGTTCCCTGCGAAAGAATGTTTTGCTTCTCTGCGTATCAAGATCAGGCATCCCTGGTAGTTCATTATAAACACCAGTAAGTCGTGAAATCAGCATTGGGGCATATGGATGATTAAAGGAAGGCAGCAGAGCAGGAGCGTCTGATTTCTGTGAACTTGTTTAAAATGCACCCGTAGAGCAGCTTGGCAATTCAGTTTTTGCATTAGTTGTTTAATGTCACCTACGGTTGATGTATTATCTGGGACACAGCACTCCAGATAATTTGACATAAACAGCAGAATTATTTTTATTGTGTATGTAATATTCATTGGAGGGAATTGTTTCTTTTGTTTTAAATTCATTAAATAATTCAATCCATTCTTCTGCTGGAACAAACTGTTCCTACAAGTAATTTTGTTTGTGTATAATTTTTCCCCAATCTGACTTTCAAAGTACCGGTCGATAAGATTACTCGTACTTCCCTTTAGCAAACCAGTCAAGACCTTAACCCGAGTTTCTTCTCTGAAAACTTTACTGACTTATAGCTGCTGGTTTCAGTAGGTTTTAGTTTCTATTCATTACCCCTGGTTATTAAGCATGTGATTTGTGCCAGATTCATCCCTCCCGACTTCCCCTCCATCCTGATCCAAAAATAAGCGCTTGAAGTGGTAACCTTAAAAACTTTAACTTTCAAGTTCCAATAGTGTTGCTTTTCAGGCCTTAATTATTTCTTTAGCTGGCTCATGTTTTGTGTTTTTGTTGTGTTTTTTTTTTTTAAAAAAAAACTTCAAAAACATTTCTGTAATTTGTTTCTGTTGTTACTTCCAGATTTTCCCTGAATTTCATATATTCTTGAATTTGGGGCTCACAGAGTGGAATGTTATGTAGGCAACAGGAACAGACAGTTCCTGCCTTCTGTGCCACGTTTCCTCTGTATTTTCACTCTTGAGTAGCGCTGGTCTTTCTGTACCTCTGTCACTTACAACAGCCCCAGTCCCCCCTTTCCTGTGGCACTACTGTACTTTGTTCACCTCACCTGTGGGGGCAATTCCCTAATTTCCTATTTGTGAAATGGCAGATTCCATGTGTTCTTAAACTGCACTTAACCTGGGAGGGGTTTTTGTTTGTGTGTTTTTTGTTTGTTTGTTTTTTTTTCCTAAATGTCTGGTTTTGCAGTAGGTGAAGTTTGACCTTTTGTCTCCCCTCCAAAGAGAATATTTACTTCCTAATCTTCTTGGTGTGTTTTATGTGTCAGTAGAGTTGCAGCTGGTGTATTGGGCTGTGACAGTAGACAATGAACAAAGTACTGCTGAGATCAAGGGTAACAATCCTGCTCCCAGTTACCTGTTTTCACAATTTCTCTTCCTCCAATTAGACTGTCTCTGGTAAGCCACCTTTTAAAGTCAAGAGAACTCAGTGCAGTGCCTCTCTTCTTTTGTCTTCCTCCCACCCAGTCCCTTATTTTCAGGGTATGCTCAAAGAACTTCTGTTTTCGAGTGATGACAGTAACACATGATCCATTAAGTTATTTTTCATGCTTCTCTACTTCACCATGTCTCAAAATGTCATCTTTAAAGAGACACTTAGGCTTTCACTTATGTGTGTTTGGCCTTGCTCTGCTCCAACAATGAGTTACACACCAGAACTTTGTGGAAAAGCGGTGAGAGAGGGCTGGTTTGCAAGAAGGAAGAGTGCCTATGGATAGCACTGGGTGTGGTTCCATTTCGCTTTGTTTGTGCAGACATGGGTTTTGTTTAGGAAAAAGAAAGTAGAAATTTGACCCTGCAAACTTGGGTGGACTGTATGGGAAGTCTTTAGCCCTTTTAAAGAGGATTCTGGAAAAAAAAAATAATTTTGAGAAGTAGACAGTCAGTGCTCACTGCATCACACAATGGGGTCTCTGGTTACCTGTGTGGAAAGCAGATTTTGTGCCGTGACTAGACTTAATATCAAGTTAGCTTTATTTTTAGTAATAATCTATTGTTATAACTTTATGTAATGCTTTAAAGCAGCATTTATTTTGGGGTGCCAGTGTAGCTGCTGGTCATGACTTATGATAGATACCAGCTGCTTCTTTGTTCTAGTCCTCCTGCCATTGTCAGTACTGCTTCTCCCGTCTGTATTCTCCAGACCCCGGAGGTCATTGTTTCTCGCTCTCCACTGAGATCAACTTCTAGACTGGTCAGCCTGGAGAAGATCTGCGCTGTGGGTGAAGAGGCAGTGCAGAACTCAGTGCCTTCAGTTCTGGTACATGAGAAGAGAGAGGGCGTGCTCCAAAAAATCTGATCATTTTTTTTCCCCCTCTACATTTTTAATAAAACACTTCGTTACCGTTTTTGTTAGCTGATGGCTTATTGTACTTGCTAGAGTTAGCTCTGATTACTTGTTCAAGACTGGTTGTTAAAATACCTGAGGGATACCCTGAGTATTACTGATGCTTGAGTTTTGGGGTGGTTAATCATCTGGTTAGGCTGTCCTAAGCTGTTTTGAAGTTGTGGGCCAGCTTCAGAGTGCACCGTGGCACTTGAACTCCATTGTGACCAAGATGGACCCGTCCTCATGGTTGATGTGGCCTGCAGCCTGCCAGCTGACTAGCTTTGCATCGTCATGATCAAGAACAGGAACAAGAAGGCGGGTGAGAGTTGTGTAATCAGTTGGGGGTGGAGGATACAGAAGAACTTATTTGTGAGTTCTCCCTCTCTTCCCCCATTCTTTTTTTTTTTTTTAAACAGAGCTTATGATGAGATAAATTATGGATTGGGGTTTTTTTTAAATATTAAAATCAGAATAAACAGCTAGAGGAAAGCGAACTACAGATTTCTTAGAAGTCAGCAGTAGGCATTTTTATTTGTATCTTGAGTAAGTTCAGCCAAAAGTACTTACGCTCCCTGCTAGTCCCAGAATTCTTTGGACTTTTTTTCAGTTTTGCAGCCCATAAAATGCTTTATGTAGTAGTATAATACAACTTGTATGTTTTCTAGGAAGACAATATTCTTTTCAAAGTTTTTGAGATGCGATTCTGTGGGCCACTGGCCTAAACCTCATACAGCAAAACCATAGAAATCCCAACAACCGAAAATAAAACTGTCCAGTTTTGGAGTTGTTCTCACAAAATAGCTGCTTTAAGACAAACTCTGGAAACAAGTTCTGACAGTCAGGGAAAAGATGAAAGCCATGGAGCGTGTTATTTTTGAGCAAGGGTAGCCCTCTACCCATTCCACATCAGTTCACCTGAAACAAAGTGGCTTCTGAAAACTGTAATGTCAGTAGAACTGGGAGCTCTCTGTGCTGGAGTCAGTGGAATAAGCTCCCTGTTACGAGTAGAGGTTTATTGAGACAAGTATGCAGCTGGAGGTAATTTATAGGAAAATGTTGGACTTGCTGTTGTCTGGGGTGGATTCCTACATATTTATTTATTTTGCTGTAGCGCCTACAGCGCTCCTTGTGGATCAGGTCCCTGCTGTCAGGTGTTCCTGTCGTTTCAGATGGTGGGTCAGCAATGCCTACCTGTAGGGCTTCCTGTGGGAAGGAGAAACTTTTGCTTTTAAGACTTCTGTTTCAAAAATGAATCTTGCCAGCTTTTACCATGTGGGGAACGTGGGATGATGCTATAAACTAAGCTGACAGAGTGACTACAACTTTGAAAGATTGTGTTATATATGGCCTGCTGGTGGAATCTTGCTCAGGCATCGAGAGCAAAGGTGTTATGCAATTCCTCCTTTTTATAAACGTTGGAGAGCAATGATAAAAGGCACTGCTCTTTTGTACAAAAAGTAAAGCTAGGGAGGATTTTGTATGCCCAAGTGAGAAGTTTGTTTTGGGTGCTCTGTAAAGTCCTGGAAGTTTACACGTCGAGGAGAAGTTTGTATCGAGATCCTGCAGTAAAACTAGTTTGTTTCTTGTTCTTCCTGCCGATTAAATTCTGCCGTTGTACGGGCTGTCTTTCAGACAGCTGCCATGCTCCTGCCCTGGGCTATCCGTCATGGCCCCGGGGGGTGTGCGGTACCCCCCATGCCTTCCAGGTTGCCCAGAATCCGTAACTTCCCGAAGAGCTGGAAAAGTCAACCCAGAGTGGTGAGGCCTGTGGTAATGGTGGTGGCTTCCACTCTTGCAGTGAGCGGAACCGCTGCGGCGGTGCCGTGCTGGGCCTGCCCGTGTCCAGGCGGAGGAGAGGCCCGTGCCCTGCCCCGGGACAGCAGCTGCCGGCGGAGGCCGAAATGGCCTCCCGGAGTGCAGGAGGAAGCAGTGCGGTCAGGGTGGTGGTTTATCTGATTGAACCAACAGCAGTCAGTTCCTTTTCTGAGACATCTTGGGGGAAGAGATGCGCAAACCTCTTGCGTTTGGTCCCGTTTGGGCTTCTTTTGCAGAATTGGCGTTGGCCGTTTTGAGTAGGCCCAGGGCTGGAACAGCAGGGTTATTGTAAGAGGATTGAGTCGTAAGGACAGAATTACATAGATTTGTCAATAGTTAATCTCTGCTGTGACTTGGATGTTTGCTCCCCTTGTCTTTGTCACCCTGAACGTGCATTAATTGTTTTAAGGCTGTTGAAATACTACTGAAATGTAAGACCCTCCCCCCCTTTATTGTCACATTTGACTAGTACAGGAAAAAAATAAGTTCTTTCATTTTTACAATACTGAGTAAACAGCAAAAAACCCTTTGTCTCTTTGTAGTGTGACATGATTATAATACTATGTATTATTATAAGTCTGAGTTCCCTGAATACTGCACGTCACTGTTGTTCACTTTATGTTGCGTAACATTGTAGTTGTGGGGTGAAAATGCACAATAATGATGGTGACCCTCTCATCCCCAGGACTTCGAAGTTGTTCTTTTCCTCAAGCCTGTTCTAGTATCCTAAGGCTCTTCTAATCTGCTTTAATGTTCCTCTCCTCCCAGCTCCTGCTTAGGCAAAGGGATAACGTCTGCAGGCAGAAAGCAAACACCATGGCACAGCACTCTCTGCTGCAGGGCTTGCATCGTGCAGTGCTCCCAGCTCAGGCTGGCTTGAGGCGTCTTAAACTGGATTAGTGTTGCTTTGGCAGGCCCTAATACCAATGCAAGGCACCGTAAGCAGCTTGGAGTGGTGTTTGTTTCCGTGACCCTGAGCAAAACGAGTATTCTGGCTTTACTTTTGAAGCTTCAAGAACCCAACAGTGGTCCTCGACGCTGGTGTTCCCTTCAGCCGTCTTGTCCAGATAGTGTGATGTAGGCCATGTCCCGTGTGCTCTGCCTGTCGGTGCCCGTGGCAGCTGTTTGATTCCCTGTAGGTGTGACCTAGCTTAGAGGGTTGTGCTGCCTGCAAGGCTCGACTTGGAGTGGTGTTGGAGGGATGTATTTCACATGAGTATGTTTTGATGTGTAACCTGTATTGTCTTTGACTGGAGGGATGTAAAAAAAAGAAATCTACAGGTGGTGTGCGTTGTTTGAAGTTCCTGTAAGAAATTTTGCATTTCCAGTTTACCTGTGTGAGTTTTGTTTTACATTTTTTTCAAATTTTAAGGGATCGAGGATCTGCAGCAATACTTCCAGTAAGGCAGTGGTGATGGCAGATTGTGACGATCAGACAGCAGGTGGCCATGCTTATGTGTGTTTGTAGTGGGTGGGTGTTTATTCTGCAAGCAATACTTCTGTGAGGCACCCATTACTGAGTGGCAAATAATCTCATCAGCGGGCAGAAACTAACCTTGCAGTGACCTGCAGCTGGATTTACCATCATAATAGCTTCTAGCTTATCGTGCTGCTAGCTCAGGCCTTCTTAAATGCATTACTGTACTTTGACATGCAAATGTATTTGTGATCAGAAACGGTTTTTCTAAACCTGATGTAAACCGTTTTAACTGCTCTGTAATTCTGAGTAAGTCTTTCCCATTTTTTTTCTCGTTCCCTGAATAAGAGACAAATGGAACAGTAGTGAATTCCAGTAGTTCAGGGGAACTGGGCCACAGTCAGCAGCACAGGGTGACTGAGCTTTAGGATCGTGGGCATAGGGCATAGGCTCTGCCAAACTTGTTCTTCTCCCGTTTTAGCTCCTAGTGTAGTGAAGACCTTATCCAGAGTGCACGCTGCCTGTGATTACGTGCATCAGTTGTGTTCCTTACTTCCTTCTTCATAGCTTCCTCCAAATCTCTTATGATAATGGCTCTCATGTGCCCACCGCAAATCCATCAACAGTAGAAAGAAAGGGGGGACTAAGGTACACGAAACTGCTATTCTTCCAGTAGCTACTGGTGGTGCCTTTGGCAGCGGTGCGGAGGCTTAAGGTGGTGGTGGGGCACTTCTCCTTAGCTGTATGCCGTTAGGCAGGAAATAGTTGGCTGTTTTCATTGGCGTGGGCTGCTTGGCTGTTCTGCACAGGAGGATTTCCAAGGAAGCTAGTCAAGGACTTTACCATCTCTCTCCTGTTTTGTGTTAGTTGGCTCGTAACAAGAAAACATCTCTGGTGGAATGGCTGTAGTGGGAATATGCAGAATTGTGTGAGAGTGTGTGATGGTGAACCTCGCTGGTTTTTACTCATGTGGGGCTCTACCATGAAAGTAGCTCAAACGTAAGAAACTAAATTTTGCCAGGGTGCTAGAAACCAAAACTGTCAAGAGGAGGGCAATGGCTGTCATGCCTGTGGGGCTGGGGTCTGAGGCAGCATGATGTGCTGCGAGGAAATGCAGAAAGCTTGCGTGCCTCACGGTGCAGGCTGAAGGAGTTGGGGAGCACAGCAATGTGTTTTCACCACATCCCTCCCTCAGCCTCTCTTGTCTTCAGGGTGTGAAACCTGGCAGAACTGAGCACTGTGATGTGTGTGCAGCCTTCCTATTGTAAATCTAATACGCTTTGAGGGCTGCATATGAAAAGCTTCCACCCTTTACCCCTGATGCGCTTCCTGAGTGAGTCTGGTGGGGATTGCTGAGCTTTCATCAAGTAACGCAGGAAGAGGAGCTTGGAGCTTCACTGGCCATCACCGCAGGGTCTCATTTTATTGGGGCATAACCTTGTGCAAGGACCCAAGAGTGAGCTCTTCGGTCAAGACTGGCCACAATCTGAGTTCATCTCTCTGTGTTATGTGCAGGAAGGGCTCAGTAGTCCCAACCAAGCGTCATCTGTGAGCGAGGAGAAATGAAATTGGGGCAAGGGGGGAGGGCAGTGGAGGACAAGTTACGTGTGTTGGAATCCCACAGCTTTTGGACTTCATTACTTCCCCCAGCCTTGGTCCAAATTGGACACAAATTGATGAATTGATTGGTGTGTTCTGCAACCAGCTTTTTCCACTCAGGTGTCTAGAGGCGGTTGAAGCAGAATACTTTCCCAGCCTTGTAGGAAGATGTTGTATTAAACCTAGCAAGCAAATACTTGTGGGTATTTATTTCTTTGTAGGGCAAGTGCTGTTGTTTTTATGACTTCACCTTAAAAATGAAAAATGGAGAAAGGTAAGTTTTGCACAGAAATCCTTGTGAAATCTACAGACTGGATGTGGAGAGGACACGTAGCTGGTATTAGTGCAACATAACTCTCTGGTCTGTCTGTACTGCCTTGGCTGCTCAATGAATCTGCTTCTGCTTTCAAAATAATAGGTTTGCTACTGGCTTTGGAGACAAAGCCTTAAGCTTCTGGTTTCAGAATTTCTAGGGTCAGACCACAGGGATGTTGTAATAAGGTTCTCATACTCCTGTAAGGGGATGGTGACTCTGAGCTGCTCTATGTGCATCTAGGTTTGGCTGGTGACTTTCTCTTCCTCAGCCTTTTGTACCTGTTACTGTTAGGATTTGCTTTTTCAGGTGCTTAGATAGGATCAAAGAATGAAAGTAACTGTGTAACAAGTGATATTTGTCATCTTTGAGATGTTTTATATATTTTCTTTTCCTGTTTTTTTTTTTTTTTTTAGGTTTGGAAGGCGTTTTGAATCCCCCCTTTTGTGGCAAAGCATTATCATGATCATTACTATGTTACTGATGCTGAAACTGTGCACTGAAGTACGTGTGTCCAACGAGCTAAACATAAAACGCCGCTCTTTTGCAGGTTAGTGACAGGAACTGGCTTTTGCAGGATAAATCTTTTTGAAAGCATGGTGTACTGAATTTTGGACAAAAGTTCTGTCTGAATTGCGGTCCGGTCTCCTTTCTTGATAATTCAGTGTAGCATTTCCTGAACCTCTTTTTTGCAACTGCTTTTTTCCAGATAAATATGTCAAGCTGTAATTTTATTTCAGACAAGTCTTGGTTCAGTCTAGAAATCAGAGTTCTCCTTCATATTTTGAACCATGCCCTGTGTATAGAGCTGGATGTTATGCCATTGTGCTAGCCTGGGTTTTTTTTAAGATCTTGGCCAGATTAAGAAGTTATTTTCTTCAGCTGTGCTTTCTACCAAGTTCTTAGGTGTGATCGTACACTATTATCTGAAACTTTATTTTGCAATTGCAAACACTTTCTTTTGTACATAATTTATTTTCTACTTACTGAGTTATTTGCTGACAAAATAGGAGGTGCTGTCATATCGTAGTTGCGAAACTGTCTTTTTGTATACTGTTTCCTTGGGCTTTAGTGTGGGATTAGTTGGGGTTTATGGAAATTTTCACATATATTTTATTTTGGTTATTTTTTAATTTTTAGGCATTGATAACTTCAGTCGGGGCCAGAGTATTATGCTTTACTTAACGAAAATGTTCAAGCGCTGTGAGAAGTCTGTGCTTTTTTCCCCAGAGAAGAAATGTGAGAAGGGTAGTTTTTGTGTTTCTCTGTTGACTTTAACTTAAAACATTTTGTTACAGCTTATTACCAACAAGAACAGAATTAATGCTGTCAGCTTTTTGTCAGTTGTTTTGCCAATATGGATATATAATTTATTCTCTCCGTCTGTTCCCTTCCCTCACTCCCTAATAGTCGAGGGTCTGAGCCAGTTCCAGATCTCCGCAGCCATCACTCGAAGGCAGCAGGAGCTGGCTGTGCAGTGGGCTAGTTTATCTGGTAGCTCAGGGAGCTGCTCCCCTTCCTGCCCATGGTGAGCGTAGTGGGAAACCACTCAGGTAAGTGAACTCACGTGGCAGAGGAGCGGCACTCCAGCTCCCAAACACGAGCTGCTGTGTTCACAAGGGTTGTTGGTCTGGTAGGATGAATGGCTTTAAAACTCCTTTCAGCCAGATTTAGCAGCAGTTAAGATCCAGGAAGCATTTGGGAGGGGCATGTGTGCTTTCTCCCTCCTTTGCTCTCTGCACTAGTCTTTTGGGAGGTGGCAGAAAGGTTTCTTTGTTTGCCCTTTCCGAGGGGAAATGATCCTCGTGCACCTTTACACACACACACACACTCTTGCAGGCTCCTTCGGTAGCCTTTGGACAAAAAGGGAGGCTATTCAGTTTAGTAGCTAGCCCTCTTTAAACATATGGTCTCCTAAAGGATCATCGCTCTTGGCCAGGTAATGGAAACTCCTCGAGGTTGTGTTGTGTCGTTTGATCCTTTTTCCTGAAACTCAGTGTGTCATGTGTTCGATTGGCTGGAGAGACTGATTTTTACCTACTTGTGGACCTTCGTTATTCGTTTTCATGGAGAAGCTTGCATCCTCCCACGAACTTTGAGAACAGCTGAAATCTTTTTCTTACCTGTGATTGATTTTTAGTAAGGCCAGCTATAATGTGGTGGCTCAGACTAAGCGTATAAATGCGTAGAGAGCTCCTTTCAAGTGAGGCAGAAAGGTAGGTTGTATTTCAGGCACAGTGTGAGTAGGAGCGAGATCCGTGTTTCTAATCCTACGCCTAATCTTATCTCTTAAATTTTATGGTGATCTAGGCAAGCTGATAAATCTGTGACTTACTTTCTTTCCTCATAGCTTACTGGGGCGGTGAGAAGCCAGGTTTGAAGTCAGTGTTTTTGATTAACCTTACAGAATCCTGAGGGGAAGGTGCATAATTTCTGAACGATAATATAATTTAGTATTTCTCACATGGCCAGTCTTCAATTTAAACATTTTTCTTCTTTAATTTCTATCCTCCCTCTGAATGTTTCTGCAAAATAATACAAAATATTTGGAATGTGAATACAATAGTATATTTCAGTGGAAGGGAGTTTGCTATTTTCTTGTATTGCTATTAAATGTGGTATTCCCCCCCCGCCCCAGTCACATTAGTATATGTTTATCTGTGTGTTTTGAATTATTTGGGAGTTGCCTGCCTTTTTCTTTTTTTTTTTTTTTTTTTTTTATTCTCAGATAAGGTCCCTTAAGTAATAGCTAGTTCAGAAGGAATCTACTTAAAATTTCTTGAAGCATTAAGCAGCAATCTCTCCTAATCCTGACAAGCTTGTTCTCTAGTCTGTTTTGTGGTGTTACTGGGTTAAAATACATATCAATAGCTATTCAGAACCTAGACATAAAGCCATTCAGTTGAAATGCTTGTACTTTCATTTACAGGGTAACTATCATAGCATGAAAAATACAGTCTCCCTGGACTCGTTGCATTAGTGTTTGATGATTTCTCTGTTATTTCTCAATTATGGGATTTCCTCCCCTGCCTTCTAGTCTTGAAATGTGGAAGTTGAAAGTGGCAGAGCCCATCTTGTGCTGCTGCTGCCTTCTCTGACTTTCTGTTACGGGTACATAAACTTTGTCCTTCAATTACATGATTGGAGACAGAGTAAGTCCTCTTTATGTATCCAACTAGTATTATTTTTAAAACTTTGACCGTATAGACTGTTTTTAACTGTTCTGAATTGGAAAAAACCACCAAACAAACCCAAAACAACAAAACCCACTGACTTTATTTTAAAAGCTCCAATGATAAGACAGTTCTCTGTCCTGCATATGAATACTTTGAAAGCTATGTGAAGGAGATTAAATCAGCAGGCATGAACAATACCTCCTTATCTTTTAACCTTTATTTCACGCCACTTTAATTACATCTTGACTGCTTTAATGCAGATCTCCTGGTGCTGCCATTGTTGTGGTAACAATAGCTCTCCTTATGAAGTTCCCACTTTTAAATTGGTGTCTGTGCAGCTCTATGTATGCTGTGTCATTGGCGCAGCGATAGTTTCTTTTGTTACAGTTGGTTTTGTTCAAAGCATTGCAGTATTTCTGGGGCATGATGGTGCTACCGCGCTGGAGAGCTAAAGATTGAAAAGCAAAATGTGCATGTGCCATGTGTTGACTGGAGAATCGGGAGGAGGCTGAAGCAAGGTGCGTACAGATACAGACAGCTAAAAACGCCTGATCAGCTCTCGAAAATGTTGGCAGGCCAGAGCAGTCTCTTCATATTCTTGCAGAGACAGACACTGTACAAACAACCCTCTCCTGCTTTCCCCAACCTCTCTCACACAAGGATTTGATTTCCGTTATGCCCAAGACGTTGTGACAGCTTTTGAGCGCCTTCAATGATTCTGAGCATGCTGAGTGGATGAACTGTACTGAAAACCAGTGGATGGTGTTTGTTAAAAACGGGCTCCTGGACGTCTCTTCTTATCCCAGTACCACCCAGGCTCCTTCACAGGAACACGGGCTCCTGTGTTTTCACGTGAAGGTGATTTCCTCTGGTCACTCGTGCAGTTTTGTCTTCCTTCCAACTGCTGGTTGTCTTAGCCTGCTTTAGAACCTGTATCCTATTATAGCACTCTGATCCCTTGAAGAGCTCTGGTTTTGGCACTGGAAAGCACTCTTGCGTAATACAGGGTTTTCAACTGACAGAAGAAGGCTGGAGTGAGAAGATTTAGCATGCAGAATGATTGCAGATGAGGTCTGCTCTGTCCTTTTTGATATGACTGGCTTAAGCTCAGGCTTTTTGAAACTATTTTAGAACAGCATTTGCCACAGGAGGCAAGGCAACTGTTATTGTCTTAGCTGATTATACACACATATGTCCACGCTCGGTGTTGCTGAGGTGACAACTTGTTTTCTCTGATCCTGAAAAGTGTATACAGGAACAGTTAAGCTGTCTTGGTTCGCTGTTTTTAAGTCTTCATTTTCTTCCTCTAGGTACGCTGCTGATTATTTTTTTTATAAGCAAAATGTACTAACTGACTAAACTGTAACTAAAAGACCCACTGTTGCATTTAATCATACAAGTCTGTTTGTCTCTCCTTCCTTTTATTTTCCTCAACTGTTTTTTATGTAGCTGCAGATAGTAAGGATGAAGAAATCAAAGCACCTCCCAAGAGATCCTATCTGGGTATGTACTGTACAAACCCATTCTGCATGGAGTTGTCCTCTCAACTGCGTATTTCGTGCTTTGCTACTTTTTGTAACCATTTTTAGAAATGACCGCATGATCATTTCTGTAGAAAATTTTTGTGTTACCTTTTCTTGACATACTAAAACTTGGTGCATGCTTTTTTTTTTAATTTTCCCTTCCCCACTTTTAATTTTAATAGAGGAAAAGCTGCTTTTAGCTCTATTTCAGAAACCAGATTTTTGAAGACAGTTGAATTTACCACGTTGTGTATCTTAAAGTTATCTTCCTTTTTCCTTCCCCAAGCTAGACAACCAAAATGTTACATAATACAGGGATCCATCTTTTCAGACTCGTATTCCTCCTCTTCCAGCTCTGACTCTGGAGTAAACTGTGAGAAATACAGGAGTATGTTTCAGCATTGTTCAGAGTGCTAGATAAGGCATTTCCCACAATGCTTGCTGTTCAAGCAAAATGCCTTCATCCTTGTGACATTTTCTGGCTTGTTCCCCTCTTCAATTAGAACAGCCTCAAAGTCATCATTTGGGAACTAGTAACACTTCAGGTGAGAGCTTCGAGTCTTCAGTTTCAGAGTAGGTGAAAGTAGTCTTTAATTTACCTAGGGAAGAGGAGATAGTAGGTGAAAACCAGCTTTGCAGTATTTTAAACTCTCAGTAGTTGAAAAGGCAGTTTTAGCCAAGTCATGGCAATTTTGTTTTAAATTAGTTGGGGTATTGCGTTAAGGAAGTTGTACCAACTGGAGACCCAGAAGTTCCCCGTAGTAACTTGTAGGCTGATTTTAATGGAACTGACTCAGAGTCTCACATTGATACTAGTTATGCTCTGCTGCAATTCTTGAGTTAGCAAAGGGTCAGCTGCAAAAATACAGGGTAAAGCAGAATGTTACTGGTGCAAAAGGAGAGTCTCCTGTATTTGCCAACACGCACAGTTAATTAAACTGGAGTTAGCTCTGAGAAACACTGCCGGAGAGTGATGTTAACCTGAGTGCTTTCTTGAGGCCATAAGACCGTTCCTGCTAAGGTTAAAGACTCTCTTCTAATGATTCATCTTCCATATCTCCCCTTTCAGATTTAGGGGCAAAATACACCCTTTGGGAAATTTACCTTTATTGGTCCGATACCAGTATTTTGCAAAGCACCTTTTCCTTTTGTGTTCTCAAAGCGTTTTTTCTGGACTTGGAATAAAACTATTTTGGTTTTCTCTTTGTCTTTAATTGTAGTTTGTAGTCATTCTTACTGGCTTGCAACACTAACCAATGGAATGTAAACTTTAAGCAGTCCTGTCTTCCTTGTGCCTGTATTCCTCTTGTCTTTTACTGGTATTCAGCAATGCTTTATTTACAGTGTCAGAGCTCCTAGCTGTGATTGAGTGGATTATTTAAAAATGCTTTAAGTGGTTAAAATTAAACAGAAATAAGTTACTTAATGTGACCTTTTACTCATTTAAGATTTTTTTTTTTTTTTCCTTGTCTGTCTTTGGTTGAAAAGTCGTTGGCTTGGTAGTTTGATAGGGTAAAAAGCTGAGTTTTGTAGAAAATAGCACCATACCTCTTAATCCAGCTGATTTAAGCCTGAAACATTTAGTTAATAAACGTTACTTGAACTTCATTTTGGGATTGCTTAGCAAAATGGCATGAATCGAATTATCGCTAAGGAACAGGACAGTCTTACACTACTGCTCAGAAGTTTAAAGACTGGGCTGGACAAGTCTGAATGGGGTGATTGCTCCTGGTGTAAACAAATGAGAAATGTTTTGAGGTGTTTGTGTGTAAAGTACATACAGAAGTGTATCCTGGTGGTTCAAGGAGTGGGATGGTGCTTTACGTCACAGCGTAAGTCATACTTCAACTCACGGAGGGCCTAACTGAGCGGTGTCCTGCAGTGCTGGGCTTTGCTGCAGCTCTGGGGAAGCTCACTTGGAGGTTAGGTAAGGGGAGTATTTGCTGTACTGTCACGTGGTAGTGGATTCTCACAACGTCTTTTAGTGAATTTGGATTAAACTTTTGTTGAAGAAGAACAGATTGGCTTTTTCATTTCCCCTGTTTATTTCAGTGGTGTAAAAAATATTCTTCAGTATGTTTTTAGGCTTCAGAAACCATTATATTACTTTCTTTTTCTGGTTACATAGTAAACATTATTTTCTTGTAGAACCATTAATCTGAAAATGTGTTGGTCTACCAATGAATGTCAGGTGAGCTTGTTAGATAAATACAGAGGCATTTGTTTGATGCCTTTCTTTGAATAGCAACTGAGCTCCTGCTGTGCTCCCTGGGGTTGCTTTTAGGTCTGTGTTATTGTCAGTAATCTAACAAACCACTCAATGCCACTGTTTTTCCACACGTTACCTGAAAAAAGCCTTTATCTGGCACATGACTCTGAAAACTGACTTAGCAGTCAGTGCTGAGGGAAGTTGAGGGTGTGGGGGAAGGTTGCTGCAGTTTCACTGACCTAAGTAAAATAAATATCATTTATAGTATGGTGGGCCCCGGAGTGTAGGTTTCCTGATTTCATACAGAAATAAAATTATTCCCCTTTCTCTGGGCAAAGGGAGGATTAAAAAGGATTAAGTATCCAGTTCTGAAGGAACGATGCTTTATTCCCTTTGTTTTATGATGCAAGTATCTAGTTCTGCCTAGCGCCGGCTAGCGTTTGATGGCTGCCGCTGAGGTGAGCAAAGCAGCAGCTGAGTGATGTTGGTTTGGTTTTTTCTTGATGAGGTGTTTTAGAACAAATGTGGATCGATGTCTTAATCTGTTACACTAAAATACAAGTTTCCTGGAGGGAGAGCCAGCGAGTGCGCGTGCCCTCTGCGTGTTGGAGATTGTTGGGGCAGAGGTAAGAGAACACGGAACAAGGCATTGCTCCAAAGAGGCTGTGTCTTTTGAAGGTGTTCAGAGTGGTCTCCTTGGTGTGGCAGGCAAGTGAATGGGACTGGTTTGATTTTTTTTTTTTTTTAAGTAAATGTTTAAACATTTTGAAGGACTCTTATAGTAGATCACAAGGGTTTTCCTTCCTCCTCTGAAGCTGGTTTTAAGACTTGCCGTATTACTGAACCCTGAACCTTGCTTTTAGCCCAACCAAAGAGTTGTCCAAGTAATATCAAGTTTTAAACCAGTAGTAATAAAATGACAAAAACTTAGATTCACCAAATAGCTGTTAAAAAATATTTAAAACTAAGTTTTTGGGAGGAAAAAAAATGTACAGCATCTGTGTAGTTAACTTCACAGAGTTAGTATCTGCATAATAACGAAGAGAAGATATTGAGCAGGTGCAGTTATCTGCTGCATGGTTTACACTGGCAGTGTGACTGCCTGGTGAATAATTCACACTTTCACCTCTTTTTTTGTCCACATGCTTTACGTACCATGAGCCAGCCGATGCCCCGAGTTAAGTTAAGCGTTGGCACGCTTTGGAACAGCACTATAGCTTAGGTGTGCCGTGAAGGATGTAAAGGTCATTCAGTCAGCTCTCTGGCTCCCTCTGTTCAGAGTGGTTGGTCTCCTGGGGTTCTGTGCGGGCGTCTGGCTTGCACGCGTGCGGGCGTGCGCTGTGATTTTCTGCGGGGCCCTGTAATAACGTACACCCTGAGCAGAGCTGAGGACGGAGCAGAGACACGGTTTCCCTTGGCTGGTGGTGGCAGCCCTTTGGTTTCGTTCGAAGCGTGTGACTTCTGCACCGCTGCATTCCCTGCAGGGCTGCTGCAGCTACGTACCTAACAAAAGCACAGCTGCTGCTGGGCTGCCACTGCCACCGCTGCCGCTCGTGCATGACCGCACATGGACCTGGAGGGCTTTAGATCCCTTCTCCCCAGGATTATGTGTATCCTTGTTAAACTAATTTTAGAGGATTTTGTGGATTTTTTTAGGGGGGGTGTCCAGGAGAGGGGATTGTAACGTGTGTCTCTGTGAAACTAGGTTACCAAAAGGACTTTTTTTGTTTATTAACAGAGTTCTAGTTGTTGAAGAATTAAGGTCTATTTTGCCTGAGGAAGTGGCACCTGGCTGCTTTGGCACTTTGGGTGTAGTTCTATGTACAGTAGGAACAGTTATTTCCCCTTGTCTTTCTCTGCACCATTATTTAGACCTTTTCAGGAGACAAAAGAAATGAAGAAATGGAGATTCTAAGGATGAAGTGGCAATTTTCAGTTTGTTACAAGTAAATACTTAAGTTGAAAACTGTAGAATCCTTGGGGTTCTTTTCCTAATACATAATTTTGGTTTCTTAGTTGATGTTGCAGATGAAACGAACAGAAGTCTGGAAGATATCTTGTCTATCCAGGTATGGGTCTGTGCTGGAGGTCTAAGTTACTGTTCAGACATTTCAGAATAATTCAGTCCAAATGGAACACTATTAATTTTTTTTTTAAAGGAACTTAGAACTCTTTGGCGTATTGAATGATAACTTTTTTTAAGATGCAGACAAGGGGAGGGAATCATTTAATTAAAAAGGTTGTTCTTTATTGTCATGACGAATTTGTTTCCTGAATCATTGCAAAACCAATACTAAAATACTTTTCTTTCAGAAAACTTGAGAAAAATAGGTTTGTGTCAGTCTGTTTTCTGGGTCCAGTGTTATGTTTCTCAGTAGACGCTCTCTTTCAAGCTTCAAAGTACCATTTAGTGTAAATCTTTCTTCAGTTCCTCAGGCTAATGGGCCTCAGATGAAAAGTTGTACTGTGGCCTTTTCTGTCCTGTTGAAAAGTGCTGGAAGTCCTCAGCGGGAGGGCATACCTTTTTGCAGGCCTAGCTAGTGTTATTCAGAAGTTATAAACGGCAAGAATGAGTTTATTTACTTAAGCTCTATATTCCAGAGAGACGTTTTCCTTTTAGAAAAGACAGCTGGGAACAGAGGAACCCAAATAATGGTTTATGATTGTTGAGGCCTCTGTGCAACTATGATCTGCCCTCTGGTAGTTTGCCCTTTCAGTAGCATGAGAGACTCAAACACATACACATGCACCCAGTGAGGTGCTGGGAGGAG